GATATCAAACCAATTAGAGCTACAAAGCAAGGATACGACACAAACTATCCTATTGCCAATCTAGTGCGAGTGGAAATAGGGATACATGTGGATACACGGACCCCGCAGTATCCGATCTTCTCTAAATAACAAAAGAGATACAAATCGGGATATGACCAAATATAGTGGGGATACAGTGGAGGACTCAAGAGCCAGCCACCAGCAACCATGCAATCCCGGTCGACTGCATCCTGAACTATGCAATCCCGGTCTAAATTCAACCCTGGCATCATTTGAGGCATAAAAACACTGACATGGCAGGGATTTATCTGGCTGGTGGGCAAAGGAGCAGCAATGTTGACTACGGCACACCCTTCTGCTGCGCTCGGCCAGCCCATTTGTAGATTTTTGTCTGCTAAAAATATCTTTTTTTCTTGTTACACTGCTAAAAAGGGAGCACCTATTGGTGCATTCAGCAATCAAACTCGTGACTTTTAATTCGTGAACGTGTGCACCTAGCCACTAGAGATAATGTCTATTTGTTCTATAAAGGAAGCGCAATTTTTAAATCCCTCCAAAGTGGCACATCCAAAACAATCTTTACAAATTTTAGAACATTTCTCGAAAATTTAGAAAAACAACTAAATGCCTAATATTGTTCTGAAAATGAAAATATTTTTGGAAATCCAATTTTGTTTACTCCAACATTTTTTGAAATCTTGAACAAATTCTGAAATCCCAAACATGTTTTTAATATGTGAACAATTTTTAAAAATAGAAACAAATTTTGAAATTCCAAACAAAAATAGAAAATATGAACATATTTTGAAATCCATGAGAATTTTTTTAATGCAGGACCATATTTTGAATCTGTGATCATCTTTTGATCTATAAATAGTTTTTGGAAAATGAGAACATTTTTATTGAAAGCACTAACAATCCACCAAGCACGTCACCCTGCCTCTTGTGAATAATTTGTTCCAGTTTCTTCCTTTTTTTTCTTTTTTTTTGTTTGTGGAAGCTCCTTATACAGTTCTTTTTTCCTTTTAAATCTAATGTGTGATACTTTCTTCAGTTCTTTGTTTTAATTCGCGAACCTTTTTACAAAACCCATGCACTTTTGTGAATCCGTGAACTTTTCTCAAATCCATGAAATTTTCTTTTGAAAATCGGTGAACTTCTTTTAATAAAAAATTGAACTTTTTCTAAATCCGTAAAAGAATTTAGAAAAATCTGTGACCTTTTTTTCCTTTGGAAAATCTAGTTCACGACGTTCTTTTTTTTCTATTTCCTACTAATATGGACGAGAACTTAATAAAAAATGAAAAACAAAAAATAAACATAAAGAGAAGGAAAAAAAAAAAAAGGCAGCAAGTGAACACAACAGATTTGCTGTCCCTGGTGGTAACTTCTGTCGACCAACAGTAGGAGGTCTTGGGTTCGAGTCACCCTGAGTGCTTTCTTTTGCAGTTTTAAAGCAGAAGAAAAACTACACCTTTTAAAGAAGGAAAAAAATAAAGTGGGCCCGCCCAACATGGAACAGTGTAAAATGGCATCAATTCCGACCATCCTTTGACACGCCCGACAATCCTCGTTTGCCAAATGATGCCACGGTTCAATATAGACCGAGATTGCATAGTCATGGTGCAATCAATTGAGATTTCAATTTGATGGTTATGTTTGTCGAACCTCTACAAATTCAGGGTTTAAAATTGACTTTTTCCGCCGATATACATCCAAGGTTTCCTGTTTGCTCTTCGGCCACATCCCCCAGAGCCTTCTTCCATATCTTCATAATATGTCTAAAAAAGAGAAACAATGTCCATTGTCCTCTACACATTTCAATTTTGCAACAATAACTTCGTTTTATCAACAATAATGACATAACCGAACACAAAGGATGTGCAAAATTATGTGTATGTGCTTATTGGTTCCAGCTCGGTCGTTCGTATGTTTGTACGCTTTTGTTGTTGCTGCTTTGTTGTCTAAAGAAAAGGATGGCTAGGGCGATTCTTGAAAGAAAACATACATTTTTTTGTTGTTTTTCTCTTTTGGAGAATCGGCCACAGACATAGACACTAAAAAAAAGAAACAGGACCCTATTCCGGGCCTTAAGTGCCGGCTAAGCATGTTTTCATGCCGTGCGCACAACAGTGAAGGGCCGGCCCATATAATTTAGTTTCCTTTATACATTTTTCCTAGTTTTTCCAATCGGTTTCTGTTCAGTTTTTTCTCTTGTTTTCTTCTTCTTCTTCTTTCTTTTTTTTCTCGGTTTTCCTTTCCTTTTTATTTTTATTTTTCTATTTTCTGTGAACAGTTTTCAAATTCATGAGCTCTTCCCCAGTCCATAATTTGTTTTTCAAATTGGTGAATATTTTTCAAATGCATGAACTTGTAGCTCGTGGACTTTTTGGAATTTTTCAGGAATGTTTTTTCAAATTTCATGAACTTTTTTCAATTTCCTGAACACTTTTATTTCCAACGAAGCTCTGAAACCGTGAACTTTTTTCAAATTTGTGGCTGTTTTCAAATTTGTTAAGAATTTTTAAATAATTCACACTGGGTATATATATGTTAACGTTGTGCTGAAAGTAGGGTCGAATAGCACTATTAGCGTGTGGAGCTCGAATCCGACTGCTCCCAGAATAACGAGCGGAGCAATCCATTTTTTTCATGTTTTTTGTTTTTTGGGGTTGCTAGGCCATCCAATTTTTGTTGTTGCCCAGTAAAGACAGAGTATCGCAAAGGATTGTTGAGGCCAATTCTCCGAAGGAAAAATAATGGTTGCAGTCGATACTACTAACTTTGTAATTTAATGAGAACCAATCTGTGGTTAGATGGTTAGAGGGACTGTGGTATACCCAGCCCATCAGGGTTCAAGTCCTGGTGCTCGCATTTATTCCTGGACTATTTCAGGATTTCAGCGATGTGCATTCAGTGGGAAGAGACGTTCCCGTCGACGACGAGGTGCCTACGGGGACTTCGTAAATTTTAATATGATATGCCGGCTCAGTCTTTCGGAGGTCCTCATAGGGGTAGGGCGTGCGTGTGTGCGTTCATAGGGGTGAGTGTATGTACGTTTATATGAGCGCTTGCGTTTGTACTGTGTTCAAAAAAAACTTTGCAATTTCATGAATTTTTGTGAGAAATTTTTGATCTATTCATCACCAATCATGGTAGTACAATGAACCCTCGAAATAATAAAAATTATATCTATATTTATAGATCACCCAGCGATGACTATAAGAACTAGATTGGTGATGACTACTAGAAATAATAAAAAATATACCCAGATTTATAGACCACCTATAGACGACTACAAGGACTAGATTGGAGAACAAAAGATCATCTGTGTTTTTTCTTGTTGACATGTCCCGGTCCAGAACCAGTCCCTGAAGGCTGAAGGAATAGCGGAAGTGCCAAATCGTCCGAGACACAGGTGCTTGGTGCGTTCTCTCCCAGTCAGCACAACAGTGAAGGGATCGTCGCTGGCGCCGGTGGCCAACCGGCCCGTCGCGCCGGACGCCCGCGCTACCACGGATGGACATACACCACCGCCCATGCATCGACAAATCCAACCGCATGCAGAAAAGGGTGTCGGTACGTCCAAAAGGAAACGCCACTGCTCACGTGGTTGAGTAGAGATCAGTCCATGTACCGATCCATCGGCAGTCGCCGGAGTCCGGACGGAACAGCACCGGTGCCGGGACGGCAGCGAGGACAGGACAGGGGCCGGCCGGTGCGGTTCACGTGACGGGAAAGCGCAGGCGACGACGACGTACTACTGAGCCTGACCTGGGCACCTGGGTAGCCAGACAGCCGGGCACGGACGGACGCACGCACCCATGGACGAAGGAAGCTACACAATGTTGCAGTGCGCGCGCGCTAGTGATGCCAGCCACGCGCACTGCCCGATGGCCGTGCGCGGCATGCATGGCGCCGCGCGCCCGTGCCCCGTCCACTTCACCCGTGCAACCACCCGGCCGGGGACCTCCCCTCGGATGCCGCAGCAAAGCCAAAGCCAAAGCCGGAGGCGGGGGCGGAGGGGCAAGTGGCAACGGCCGGCGGCCATGCGTTTGACTCCGAAAGCCGCTGTAAAGTCCACCCCAAAAGCGGGCCGCCGTTGCTGCAATGCACTCATCAAACGTCCGGAAGGTGAACTGGTGAAGTAATTAAGCTTGAATGATGCTTCTCGCGCAGCCCATCCATCTCTTTTGGGCACTGCCGCACGGGCACGCGAGGTGTCAGCGAGGGAGCGACTTTCCCTCCGATTCCTTCTCCGAGGCCAAGGAGACGACGATAATAAAAAGAAATAAGGTCGCAAATTGAATGTTGGAATCCAAGGTAGGTGGCCGCTGAGGCCGTTGATTCCCCGTTCCAGTGCGTTGCTGTAACGTGGAAGCTTCTCCTTCTCCCTCCTCCCCTCCTACAGCAGAAAAGAAAAAGAAAAGGAAGCGAGGAGATGAGAAGGAATTTCGTTTCGACGGGCGCAAAGAAAAGAAAAGAGAGAAGAGAATCGCGCGCACACGAAAAAGATAGTCCAGCTGCGCTGCGGCGATGGATGCCTTGTTCTCCTTCCCCTCTCCCGGAGACAGGTGCAGAGGGACCCTACTTGCTTGCTTAAGCCTAGAGCTCACCGGTTAGAGGGTGATTAAGGGCTGCACGGGACGCTCGCTCTCTCTTTTCCCTTTCTCTGTTCCCTTCGCTTGATGGAAAGGGCAAGAAGAAAGCCGAGCTCAGCGATGGCGGTTGAGTGTGTTTCACGACACCGGCTCCACTCTCTGCCACTATATAACCGCCAACCGCCTCCCCCTTTCCCGCTAGCTATCATCCCGCACCCGCACGAGCCCAACCACTCTCTCTTCTAGCTCTGCTCCGTCCTCCATGGAGGGGCGAGCGAGTGTGTGAGTCTGACTTGCATGTGACCGAGCCTACAGCAAGCACACATCCAAGAGACAGAGAGAGGAAGTAATCTTGCTTGCTTGCTTAGTTGGGTTGGGTTTTGTTTCGTGTGTGCATCTATGGCGCTGCCGGCGGAGAGACGGACCGAGGAGGCCGCAGTCACCGGCGGGTGCCGGGTGCCGGCCGGGCAGGGCGGGCTGCCGATCGGCTTCCGGTTCCGGCCCACCGACGAGGAGCTGCTGCTGCACTACCTGCGCCGCAAGGCCCTCTCCTGCCCCCTCCCCGCCGACATCATCCCCGTCGCCGACCTCGCGCGCCTCCACCCATGGGACCTGCCAGGTACGCTCCACTTACTCCCCATATCACTGACCAACGGAGCTGCGGCTGCATTGCTGGCGCATTGCGCTGACTGTTTGCCATGTGCACGCAGGCGAGGCCGACGGCGAGCGCTACTTCTTCCACCTGCCGGCGACGGGGTGCTGGCGGAAGGGCGGCGGCACCGGCAGGGCGGGTGGCAGCGGCGTGTGGAGGGCCTCCGGAAAGGAGCGGCTGGTCGTGGCGCCCCGCTGCGGGCGGCCCATCGGCGCCAAGCGGACGCTCGTCTTCTGCCGCCCCGGCGGCGCGCGCACCGGCTGGGCCATGCACGAGTATCGCCTCCTCCCCGCCGGCCTCGCCGCCTACGCCACCGCCAAGAGCCTCCACGCCGCCAAGGACTGGGTGGTCTGCCGCGTGTTCAAGAAGGCCACTCCAGCTCGCCGCGACACAGCGGGGCGGCGTAGTAGGGGCGACGCCGACATGACACCGGCATCGCCGTCCCCGGCATCCTCCTGCGTGACCGAGTCGCGCAGCGGCATGGAGGAGGACGACGATGAGACCGCCTCCAATTCGCCGCGGCGAGAGCATTAGAGTAGCTGACCTGACTTCAATCATGGTCCCTGTAATTTTCTAATGAGTGCCCCGTTAATTCGTCGATCCGCTAATGTGGTAGCACTAGTAGTACCTCGTAGTAGTAATCATCAGTCCCAACTTATCAGGAGAAACAAACTGAGCTCAAGAAACCAACCAACCGAGCTCAAGCAATCAAACACCTCACCATGTTTGACGAGTGAGCTGAGACCGAGAGAGCTCACAGTGAATCAAAGAGTTCATGTTCCAAGGTTAAATCCGAGTTCTTTTGCTCGTGAATTTCAGCTTCCTCTTGCACAAATCAACAAGTAAAGAATGAACTAGGTAGCGACTGCAAACAGGTACAGTAGAAACACAGAGCGGCAGCGCAGAGAAAGCAGGGCAGGAAGGCGTCGGAGCTCAGTTCATGGAGGCAGAAAGCGAGCGGATTCACGAATTTTACAATAAGCTACAGCTGTGCGTGTGCGTGCGTGCGTGGTGATGATGGTGCCACTGAGTACTGATCCAACGATCGATCGACTGATTGGATCGGATTGGATACTCGAATCCACTCAGGCTCAGTCCGGAGATGCCTTCCTTCTTCCTCCCGACGCCGGGCCCCCGTCGGGCGACAGGAATATTTCCAGCCATCAAAAAGGGACCCCCGTTATTGGCAAGAGGAATAGGAATCCCGGCCGGTCCAACGAACGAACGAACGAACAATTTTGCTTCCGGCCATCGCCGCATCGATCCGGAGCATCCCGTGCCCGCCTCATCTCGTCTCACTTAGGCTCGAAGTGAGAATCATATCGTATCGATCGATCGATCGAAGACGAATAAGGCGGACAGATTTGGAGGAGGAATCAACCAAGACCGAGACCTCGACCGGACATGCGTTCACAGTTTCACACTGTCACTGTCTCGTTCTTCTTCTTCTCCAGGCAGCTAATACTGACTGCGGACCACTTTTTCGGCGGTAGTGGCGCTGATGGCCATGGCTCACACGCTGGCAGCTCTTTTTCTGTATGTGGGGGTTGCCCGAGTCGGCACGCACGATCTCTGAAAATTGGGTATGATGCAGGGCGTGACGCGCGCGTGACGAACGGGTTGCTTGCATGCGTAGAATAGTTGAACGGCTGCCGCTGAAGCCGACGTGCTGCCACGACGCTGTTGCCACGACGACAGCAAAGAGAAAGAGAGACGTGTGTGCGTGCGTGCACTGTTGTGCTGGAGACAGCTATAGCTAGCTAGCGGCACAAGAATCGGACGCCGCCCACGGGCTGATCCGAGCGACGACGATGAGTCCTCTCGCCGGAGCCGGTTGAGATTCGTCACCGGCGATGAGGAAACGAATTTTGCCCGGACCGGCGCCGGAACCTGAATAGTGCTAGTACAGTGCCTGCCTCCTCTGTCTCTGCTGGTGAAATGTTCGGAGAATGAAACCAGGCGACGTGAATTTTCTTTCAGGCAATTGAAACGGAGCACGGCAGCCGGGCGGGTCAGTGTCGTGGGACGGAGCGGGCGGCGGGGGTCAAATCCGTATTTAAACGGCGGCGGTTATAGGCTTACGGCAGCCGCAAGCACAGCCGGGTCGAGGTTGATAGCGATTCAGGACAGGGACGACTGAGGGAGCCTGTCTTTTCACCAGTGTCCGCGCGGTTCACGCTCACCGCCGCGCCGCGCGCGCGCACACATCAATCACCGGCCTCGGCTGGCATCCGCTCGCCCACACACCCACACGGCACACTCACACGCACAGACACAGTGATTTGATCCTCCTCTCTTGCTCAGCTCGCAAGCAACAGTGTCACTCTCGGCGGGGAAGCTCCGGCTATGGCGTGCACTGCTGCACAGCGCGCAGGGAAGTTCCCGGACGCAACCGGCGACCAAGACGACACCGGCGCGTGCGTCCATCTGCTTCTCGTACCGACGCACGGAAAGAAGAAGATCTAGTCTGGGAGTTGGATGTTCCTTGTAGGGGAGTGTCAGCTTGGAGCACACACAACTTTTAACACATAAAGTACAGATCTGGTACTGCCTTGATTGACGAACTAGGTTTGCAGCGGCACCGAGGAATTAGGGCATCTCCAGTGTTATCTCCGAAAACAGACATTGTATTTGTCCGTGGACGCGGGCGCCTGTGGACAGTGAGACGAGAAAAGGACATCTAACCGCGCATTTTGATGCGAATTTGAATTAACTGAATGTTAGACTCTATATACTAGGCCCCACTTGTAATTATGTTGTACATCATTATGTACCTCTCTATATAATGAAAAGGTCACCTCACGTTTGGAGGTGTGCCACAAACCCTAAAACCCTTGTCTAATATGCCCTGTTTCATCTCTTTGTTAAGGATCATGCTACGAGGAACATACTTCTTAGAGGTCGCTACCGCCATGGTTTATATGCTCTTGATGCCCCCACCGACGTTCCTGCTCCTGCTGCTGCGTTCCAAGTCTTCAGTGGCGTCCGTGTGTCTCCATCACTATGGCACTCTCGTCTTGGTTACCCAGCTTCTCCCATTGTACGCCATGTCCTACATCGTCATGAGCTACCGTCCGAGTCTAGTAATAAAGATGCCGCCGTCTGTGATGCCTGCGATCAAGGCAAGAGTCATCAGTTACCTTTTTCTGTTTCTACACATATAGTCAAAACTCCTCTTGAGCTTGTGTTTTCAGATGTATGGGGTCCTGCCCAGCTGTCCGTTAGTGGACACGAATATTATGTCAGTTTTATTGATGTTTATAGTCGTTTTACCTAGATTTATCTTCTTAAGCATAAGTTTGATGTGTTTAATGTGTTTTTACAATTTCAAGCACAAGTTGAGAGACTCCTAAATCATAAAATCATTCATGTACAGTCAGACTGGGGGGTGAGTACCGCAACCTCATTACCTTCTTTGAAAAACTTGGAATTGCTCATTGTGTTTCTTGCCCACATACACATCAGCAGAATGGTTCAGCTGAACGTAAGTACCGTCATATTGTTAAAACTGGGTTAACCTTGCTTGCTCATGCGTCTGTCCCGTTTCGCTTTTGGAGTGATGCCTTTACTACAACATGTTTTCTTATAAATAGGCTTCCCTCGCGGCTCCTTCATATGAAAACTTCACTTGAACTCTTGCTTGGTCAGACTCCTGATTACACGTTTCTTAAAGTGTTCGGTTGTGCGTGTTGGCCGCATCTCCGTCCGTATAATAATCGCAAGCTTGAGTTCCATTCAAAGAAGTGTGTCTTTCTGGGGTATAGTTCTGTTCACAAAGGGTATAAGTGCCTTCATGTCCCGTCTAATCGTGTGTATATCTCCCGAGACGTTGTTTTTGATGAGCACGTTTTTCCCTTTGCTGCTCTTCCCTCACATGACACAAGCTCCACACCGCCAGTGCACCCACCCACTATATTGCCTGATCAATTTGTAGATGCTGCACATTCGCCCTCTTTGTTGTCTAACCATGGTGCAGGTATTGGGAGATGTGCGCGGCTGGAGCTCCTGGATGAGGTTGACACTCCGGTTCCCTCGTCCCCGACGGCCATGTCATCACCGCCCGCTCACGTCGATCGGCTGGCTTCGTGCATGTCCCATGCAACGAGCCCGCCTGCGCCCGTGACCGCGACTGCTGCACCGCGCGTCACCACTCCGGCCCAGCTGCCGCTTCTGCTGACTGGCGCATCGGCCCAGCGGGCCGTCTCGTCTGCGCCGGCGTCCCCGCCATCGACGCCTGGGCCGTCCTTGCCTGGAAGTCCCCCGCCGACTGGGCCGTCACCTACACCGACGCATGGACCGTCCCCGCCTGGGAGTCTCCCATCCTCCTCGTCGCCTATGCGGCACTTGTCCTGCTCGCCTGGATCGGCATCGCCCTTGAGTGGGTCGGTGTCTCCTGCTGTGTCTTCCTCGTCACCGCCACAGACTGCATCAGCCTCTGCCATGACGGATGCTGCGTCCACTTCATCATCCTCACTGTCGGTTTCGCCACCTGCTCCGCCCCCTGTGTCGCGTCCTCATACACGAAGCAAAAGTGGGGTGTTTCGTCCTAAGGAACGCAAGGATGGCACGGTGGCCTGGCTTGCGACTTGCATGGCGCAGGCCCAGTCCGACCCTACCGCTGAGCCTCGGCATTTTCAGGCTGCCCTGAGTATCCCTCACTGGCGTACTGCGATGGAGCAAGAATACCACGCTCTTCTTAAGAATGAAACGTGGCGACTGGTTCCTCCCAAGGCTGGTGTCAACATCATTGATTCAAAGTGGGTTTTCAAGGTAAAGAAACATGCTGATGGTTCTATCGAGAGATACAAGGCTCGACTGGTTGCTAAAGGATTCAAACAACGCCATGGCCTTGATTACGAGGACACCTTCAGTCTAGTGGTCAAGCCTACCACGATCCGGATTCTGCACTCACTGGCAATTACCCGTGGCTGGTCTCTTCGTCAGCTTGATGTTCAGAATGCTTTCCTTCATGGTGTCCTTGAGGAGGAGGTTTACATGCGTCAGCCTCCTGGTTTTGTTGATCCAGCTCGTCCGCAACATCTGTGTCGCCTTGTTAAGGCACTCTATGGTCTGAAGCAGGCTCCGCGTGCTTGGCATGCGCGTCTTGGCACCACTCTTCGGGCTCATGGATTTGTTCCCTCTCTGGCTGATACCTCGTTATTTCTTCTTCAGCGACTGATAGTTACTATGTACCTACTGGTCTATGTTGATGATATCATCTTAGTCAGTTCCTCGGACTATGCTGCGGATCGCTTGGTTTCTGCTTTGAGTGCTGACTTTGCGGTTAAGGATCTTGGGCAGCTTCACTATTTCCTTGGCCTCGAAGTTTTGTCCTCTGGTTCTGGCTTGACTCTCACTCAGCAGAAGTATTCTCTTGATATTCTTCGGCGGTCTGGTATGCTCCATTGCAAGACAGCTACTACACCTATGTCCTCCACTGACAGACTCTCTGCTCTCGATGGTTCTCTTCTCCCTGCTGATGAGGCTACTGAGTATCGCAGTATTGTTGGCGGCTTGCAGTACTTGACTATCAC